TTCTTCCAAGACTTGCTAACGATTTTCTTTCCTTTCTTGGTTTTTTGTTTGTTCTGTAGTTGGTCCCTTGTTGCCAATGAACTGTGAGCTCCCAGCTCAGCCAGAATTACGGCACCGAGGTTGAGGCCGTGCTCGGCTGCCTGGTCAACCTGCACCTGCGGGCCTCCCTCACCTACCTGTCCCAGGGCCTCTATTTCCAGGGCAAACACACGGCCCTGGAAGGCCTGGGCCATTTCTTCCGGTAGCTGGCGATAGAGAAGAGTGAGGGCACCCGGTGTCTGAGGAAGATGCAAAACCAGAGCATTGTGGCCGGGCACGGTGGCTCACCCTGTAATCCAGCATTCTGGGAGGCCGAGGTGGGAGGATCGTTTGAGGTCAGGAGTTCGAGACCAGCCTGAGCAAGAGCAAGACCCTGTCTCTACTAAAAATAGAAACAAATTAGCCAAAACCTAAAAAAAAAAAGAAAAGAAAAATTAGCCGCATGGTGCACATGCCTGTAGTCCCAGCTACTCGGGAGACTGAGGCAGGAGGATCGCTTGAGCCCAGGAGTTTGAGGTTGCTGTGAGCTAGGCTGACGCCATGGCACTCTAGCCCAGGGGACAGAGTAAGACTGTCTCAAAAAAAAAAAAAAAGAAAACAGCACATTGTCTGGGGGATGGACACACTTGTAGCTCTGACTCAGGCTGAGCAAAAGTAATATATTTATATATGCAACCTAAATATTTGTAGCCCTATAATATTCTGAAATAAAAAATAAATTAAAAAAAAAACACACAGCAACTGAGCCTTCTGCCAGGCTGTCCGGAAGCCATCCCAGGATGGGTGGGACAGCAGTCTGGATGCCATGGAAGTCACCTTGGCCTTGGAGATGAGCCTGAAGCAGGTCCTGCTGGATCTGCAGGGCCTGGGCACGATGCATACGGACCCCCACCTCTGTGGCTGCCTGGAGAGCTATTTCCTAGACCGGGAGCTGAAACTCATCCAGGAGATGGGCAACTACCTGACCAAATTCCACAGGCTGGAGGGGCCCAACCTTGATGGCCGGGCCTCATCCTCAGGTGTGATTAGCAGCCTCCTGGGCCCAGTGGGCTTTCAGGGCCCTGCCCACTGCACCCCCCTGCCCTGGGGCGTCTGCCTGAGCTTGTCTCTGCACCCTCCATATAGCTTTTCTTACCAGCCAGCTCTGTCCTAACCCATGGATGGACCAAGCAATGCTGCTTTTTACAGAAAAAGAAGACAGAAAGAGAGAAAAACAGAAAAGGGGGAAAGGCCCAACTACTAACTCATAAGAAAAAAAAAAGAAAGATAAAAAGAAAATTGTCATTGAACAAAGATAGTCTGCTTTTAAATTTGTTTTAATTAAAATACATTACACATTTTCATGGTTCATATCATAACTACTTTTTCAAAATATGTTACAAATAAGGAATTTCCACGGAAACCTGTGTCAACACTGAAGAATTACTGTACCTGGTCTCTGTAAGTCTAAAATGGGTTGTTTTGTCTAGTTTTGCTGATGGCAAAGTTTTCTCACTGTGATTGCAGGAATTGAGCGAGACCCCGGTAGGAGTAAGAGATTGTAACATTCTCACCAGATTTGGGTCACGAGCATGTTCCCTTCCACAAAAGCTGTGGCATGGGGGTAGACAGAGAATGTTCCAAGCCAGCTCTCATGAGGCGTTGCTTACAATCTCCGACAGGGCTGTCTGCGGGTTTGCCATAGGCAAGGGTATACTTTCATAATTCTAGACAGTCTGAATGGCAAAAACCGAGAGTTCATGCTGTCGTGAGTAACTCACATCATTCAGCCACGATGTGAGTTAGTGAAATAGAAGACAAAAAGTATTATAATACTGTATTTCTGATGGGACCACTTTTGATTAGGCTTTTCTGGACCAAAAAAAAAATCAGATTTCTTATTTTGTCAGGTTGAGTTGGCTTAAAAGAAAAGTTTGTGAATATTCCCTCAGAACCACATTTCTTTCAAAACAGCCATTGTACATACTAACTTAAAATGTGCATTAAATAAGGTAATGGGCAAAAATGACCTACAACAGTTGCTACAAGACGCTTTGCTCTTAGATGCCAGTCTTGGAGGCGATCCAGTTGCGGTAGGCGGTCACGCGCACATAGACCCCCGGCTTGTTGATCTGACCACATTCGTGTCCCCAGCTCACTACTCCAACAAGATACCAAATATTTCGAGAATTGGGATGAACTAGTGGTCCTCCAGAATCACCCTAAATAAAACAAAGAATATTTGTCTTTCTGAGAATTTCCTTTCAGATACTTTATTGACCCTAAATGATAAGCCTGGCTGAAGTTTGTAAGGGATGAGTGCTTCATAGAGACCCTAGGAAGGTGTATGGTGTAAATCCCTCTGTCACCCTTAACCTCAACTGTGACTAAGCAGAACACATTCCCTGAGACTCTGTGGGTTTACCTGACATGTGAAGGAATGATCCAAAAGCTGTAAGCTCTAGTGCTATGAAAAAGCTTTGGGAGACATATGATATGAAATACTTGGAGTTCAGAGCTTCATATCTAAGAAAAGTAGCCAGAACTCTGGCCATGCGGAGGTAAGAAGGTGAGAGGAATTCAGAATGGGCTAAAAGTAATTGAAAATTTTCTGAGACTGGTCGTTTATTGAAATATCATTAAGAGTCCAGACTGTGATGCTAGACAGCCTGGATTTGTATGCCAATTCTGCCAGTCCCTAGGTGTGTGACGTGTCTGTTACTTTCCTCTGCCTCGATTTTCTCATCTATGAAATGGGAACAATGGTAGTACCAACATCATAAGGTTGTAATGAGGATTAAAAGAATTAATATTTGTAAAGGACTTAGAACAGTGCTTGACTCAGAGTAAGTCCAACATGTTTGTTAAATGCTTAAAAACACATATTACATGTAGGGAAAAATTACTTTGGTGCCAAGTTAAGAGAGACTTTGCTTTTTGGTTTTTGTTTTCTTTCTTTTCTTTTTTTTTTTTTTGTGTTGTTGGAGAAGAATTTCTCATTCTGTTTGCTCAGGTAAGGCTATAATTTCAAGTATAATTTGCAATCTTTATTATCTTGCCTATTGTGTTCTCTTTATCTTCTTCTTCTCTTTTCTATCGCCATCATTCGACTCAACTCAACTCGCAAATTACTCAAACCCTTCTTCCTCTGCATCCTCCTGCCTCAGCCTCCCGAGTGAGTCTGGGTTAGTCTTCCAGCGCCTCGGCCACCTGATGCTCATTTATGTGTGTTCTTAAAATTATATTATACTTGATATGGCACATCTTATTATTTTCCTGGTTAGAGGCTGAACCCATACTATAAGTGAGTTCCCAAGAATGGAAAATACAAGCACCACTCTACTTCATTGGCAATTGGTATTAACTGAAGCATAAGGGACACAGATAGACTACATAATAGGTATTGCAGGGAGGGGGGAGGGGGCGGTAAAGTGTAGTGAGCAGAGAAGAGTATTAATGAGTGAGATGTGCACCATCTTTTGATGAATGGCCATGTCATGCTGGAGACTCACTTGTGGGTGGGGGAAAGGAGTTTATTGAAACCTTAAATGCTGTACCCCATATATGCTAAATAAGATTAATATTATATATTTGAGATCATTGTGAGTTTTAATATGTTTAAGTGTCTCTCGAGTTTTCTTTCCATTTATTTCTAATGTCAGGAACAGTCTCATCTCTTGCTCAGGGCATGGGTTCTTGAACTCCGACCTTGGAGCATACTCCACTACGGCCTCCCTGCTGTGGCTATGAGAGATGTCAGTGATGTGAGCCAGCGTGCCCGTGCCAAGAGATCTTGTTGTGGATGTCCAAAGTGCAGGTTAATTGTAAAAGGCATAGAATTGGTCTTCGCATAAATTGTTATTGATTTTCAGATCTTAATAATATTATCAGAATAATAGCATTATATGAATGTATTGTGTACTTATGTATGTCATATATATAATAAATCAGTGTTCTCTTAGTTGTAACCTGGCAGCATCAATGTTTTTCCATGATACCCGCATTCACTAGCAATCGTGTCTGCTGCACCATACCATAATACTTCGAGGCATTCATCAGTATTTGTGATCGATAATCTTCACGGGTGCTTTTGGAAGCAGCATTGGTTTTCACCTATTAGTGACTGGGAATCTTTTCAGCATATAAGAGGCTAACAGAGTCAGGATGAGAACAGACTGGTTCGCCTTTGTGCTCTGACTAATTAAAGACGTATTGTTGGACTTGTTGAGCTTGTTTTAAGCATGATAAAAGGTATCATTCCCTTACTTGGACAGAAAAATAGAATTCCATAGGTTTTTCATAGATTTCTTGTTAATCTTGCCTTGGTCCTTGTGTATCTCTCTTCCTTACATTCATTACTTTGTTCCAGAGTTTCGTCTGATCTGCGGTTTTTCCAGGTTAGGGTGGTCTACAACTCAACACTTGGAATTTTTATTAAACCTAGAATGATGGCAATTGTTTATTTCACAGTCAGTAACATCCATATGTGCGCCGATTCACTTCCTGACGGAGTTTGCGCTTCGAGGTGTGAGTCCTGGGCATCTGGAGGTCAATGATGCTCTTTCTTTTTTTTTTTTTATTTTTAATTCGAGACAGAGTCTCAACTCTGTGTGCCCAGACTAAGAACACTGCCATGGCGTCTAGCTAGTCTCACTGCAACCTCCACAACTACGCTGGGGCACAGCGCATCCTCCTGCCTGTCAGCACTCCACGAGTTATGTTGGGATACTTAGGCATGTCTCCAGACACAACTAGTATTTCAGCCTTAATTCTAATATATTATATATATTGTTGGCCAAATTCATTTTTATTCTCCTATTTTAATGTGTAGTAGAGACAGGGTCTCACTCTTGCTCAGGCTGGTTTCGAGGAACTCCTGACCTTGAGTGATCCGCCAACCTTGGCCTCCCAGAGTGCTAGGATTACAGGTGTGAGCCTCTGCACCCAGCCTCAATGATGCCTTTGACTCTTTACCTAGATGGCTAAGTTTTCTTGTTGCTTCTGTACTTTACACCGCATGTTAACTTTTCACTGGACTTACCATCATATGAAAGTGCTCCCCAGCCTGTAACAACTACTCCTTCACCTGGTGGAAAATTCTGCGTGGCTTCAGGAAGACAAACTCGGTGTACGTCGTTCTTAAATAAAACTTTCTCAGTGAGCAGTAAAATAGCAATGTCATCATGTTTTTCACCCTGGACGTAGTCTTCATGAGTAATAATTTCTTGAACATAATGTTGCATATAAGAAGGAGTTACTTTAGTGCCAAAGCTGACAGTATAGTTTTTTGGATTTTTTGTCCTACAGAAACAGAAATCATGTATTTTGTATTTATTTCAAGACAATAGAAATACATTCCGCATCTACTGTACCCTTTCTTTTTCTTTTTATGTTTTAATTGTTTATATTTTCTTCTTCTTCTTTTTTCTTAATTTCTTTAGACGATCACAAAACAGCAATACTGTACCCTTTTTATGACATGAATATTTCCTTGCTAGATAGTCCATTAGCAATGATACAATCTGATATTTTAATTCATTTTAAAATTCTTGTTTGATTCCCTATGACATATACTATGTAAGGCAACAGGGATATAGAAATGAAAATAAATCACCCACACTTTCAAGAAGCTTAAATCTAATGAAAGATGAGTATAAACACAGGCAGTTGGCCAGGCATGGTGGCTCACACCTATAATCCTAGCACTCTGGGAGGCCAAGGAGGGAGGATCGCTCAAGGTCAGGAGTTTGAAACCAGCCTGAGAAAGAGCAAGACCTGTCTCTACTAAAAAATAGAAAGAAATTAGCTAGACAGCTAAAAATATATAGAAAAAATTAGCTGGGCATGGTGGCACATGCCTGTAGTCCCAGCTACTCAGGAGGCTGAGGCAGGAGGATCACTTGAGCCCAGGAGTTTGAGGTTGCTGTGAGCTAGGCTGATGCCATGGCACTCACTCTAGCCTGGGCAACAGAGTGAGACTCTGTCTCAAAAACAAAAAGAACAAAAAAACATAGGCAGTTATAATAATCAGTTAACTGGTGGTATATATAATTAGTGGGAACATAAAACAGTAGGACTTAAATCTATATGCTTAAGAGAATGGAATGTTTCTTAGTAGCATTTAGAATGAGACTGTATGGCTGAGTCATTTTTTGCCTCAAAGATGAGGAGGAGGGGACAGGCGTGTGCAGAGAGGAAGGGACACATGAAGCAGGGTGATGTATTTCAACAACTACAAATAGTTTAGGATTTCTGGAGTATGAATTTTTTTTTTTTTGAGTCAGAGTCTCACTCTATTGCCTGGGCTAGAGTGCCCTGGCATCAGCCTAGCTCACAGCAACCTCAAACTCCTGGGCTCAAGCAATCCTCCTGCCTCAGCCTCCCGAGTAGCTGGGACTACAGGCATGCACCACCATGCCTGGATAATTTTTTCTATATATATTAGTTGGCCAACTAATTCTTTCTATTTATTGTAGAGACGAGGTCTCGCTCTTGCTCAGGCTGGTTTCGAACTCCTGATCTTGAGTGATTCTCCTGCCTCAGCCTCCCAGAGGACTAGGATTACAGGCGTGAGCCACTGTGCCTGGCCGTTATTTTATTTTATTTTATTTTATGTTATTTTATTTTATTTTATTTTGATACAGAGTCTCACTCTGTTGCCCGGGCTAGAGTGCCCTGGCATCAGCCTAGTTCACAGCAAACTCAAACTCCTGGGCTCAAGCAATCCTCCTGCCTCAGCCTCCCAAGTAGCTGGGACTACAGGCATGTGCCACCATGCCTGGAGTATGAATCGATGAGAGGTAAGAATCATGTAAGGGCCAGGCGTGGTGGCTCACACCTGTAATCCTAGCACTCTGGGAGGCCAAGGTGGGTGGGCGGATTGTTCGAGGTCAGGAGTTCGAAACCAGCCTGAGCAAGAGTGAGACCCCGTCTCTACTATAAATAGAAAGAAATTAATTGGCCAACTAATACATATATAGAAAAAATTAGCCGGGCATGGTGGCGCATGCCTGTAGCCTGGGCAACAAAGTGAGACTCTGTCTCAAAAGAAAAAATAAAATAAAATAAAATCATGTAAGAAAAGATTATAATGTCAGAAATGAGAGACTCCTCCCGTTTTTACTAGTAAGGTAGGAAAGTCTCAGATAGGCTTAACATACAGTTTATCTTCTAAACCAGGACACTCTGGAGAATGAGAGGAGCGCTCCTAAGAACCAAACAGGGATAGCAGGTGCACAGCTCCCAACAACCAAACAGGGATAGCAGGTGCACAGCTCCTAACAACCAAACAGGGATAGCAGGTGCCCACTGGAAGCGCCCACAGCCTTTGGTGCCCCGGCCTTGGGCAACTTGATGAACTTACTGTTGAAAGCAGTGAGCTGCCGTCACCAGGTGCCTTTCCCCGATCAGGGACGCCCCGCAGTAGTGTCTCCCGTTCTTTTTGAGGCTCGCCTGCCACGGCCATTCTCCCTCCTGCGCGGTGGAGCCCCCCCTGATTCGGTCGTAGGTGGCTGACATCCTCGCTCGTCTCCCACAGCCTGTTAGAAAGGCCAGTTTTGTTCCAGGGGAAATAGCAAGATAGTGCTTGTTTTATTACACAGCAGAGAGCAAACCGAGTTGTCCTCGTATGTTGTATCCAACAAGATCTTGCACTGATAGGTACAAAACGGAACCTGTAGCAGCCCCTGTATCCTGCACACCCAGCATCGTGTCTCCAAGACAGCACTTGGAGAATGTGTAGACAAGGTCAGCACTTGGAGAATGTGTAGACAAGGTCATGGCTAAGCCCAGGGACTCCACCACCAGACTCCCTGAGTTTGAATTTTGGGTAATTATTTCACATCTTTGTGCTTCAATTTCCCCATCTCTAAAATGGGATCATAATGTATAATACCTCTGTCTAGGATTGCTATTACGATTTTTTTTTTTTTTTGAGACAGAGTCTCTTGTTGCCCATCTAGAGTGAGTGCCGTGGCGTCAGCCTAGCTCACAGCAACCTCAATCTCCTGGGCTCAGCAGATCCTCCTGCCTCAGCCTCTCCGAGTAGCTGGGGACTGACCAGGCATGCGCCACCATGCCCGGCTAATTTTATATATATATATATTAGTTGCCCAATTAATTTCTTTCTATTTATAGTAGAGACAGGGTCTTGCTCTTGCTCAGGCTGGTTTCGAACTCCTGACCTCGAGCAATCCTCCCGCCTCAGCATCCCAGAGTGCTAGGATTACAGGCGTGAGCCACGCGCCACAGGCTCGTTAATTAGGATATAACACCGAATTATTGCTGTATACTCACCAAGCAACTATGCCCTTGCTGTGACACATTGCATCACCCCCATCACGACTGTTTATGCTGCAGGTCATCCTCCATCGTTCACTTCTACGATACTACTTACGCGCTACGTCATCGCACACACAACTGACACACCATCTGTGTATCACTATCAGCATCGGCCTTCAGCACAACTCGAGCACACATACTTCTAAACAATAGCACACACCACAAACAACAAAACACCCCACATACAAATAAACTCACTAGATAAAAATATAAGACACACACAAAAAGCACTACTGACCTGGGGTGAGGGAGTAAGAGGCTAGATTGAGCGGGCAGAGGGTCCAGAAATAATTTGGAATTTCAACGAGAAAGTGTCCAATAGAAGAAATAAGAGAAATATTGTTTAATTGGAATTGTCCTTTCACGCCATATGTGAATGTCATGATATCAGAAGTACGCTATCTTCCATGATGATCAGTTCATGTGAAAGAACTCTTTTTTCTGTTTATTGGCAAATCGTATTCTACATCTGTAGATAAAGTAGGAAATTGAGAGTCTCTTTCCTTAGAAGCAAGAGAGTCCCCGACAAGTGGCACCTCATTTGTTGTCCAACTATACAAAAATAAAACCTTTGAAAGGTGATCTGTCTTATCTGCATGGATCCAGGTGCTACTTTTGTGAAACATTTAGTAGGCAGAATCAAATGAAAAAAAGAAAAAGAAATAAAAGCACAGAGTACCATCTAGCTAACTTATAAAGACTGTTTCAGATCAGCGCGTCGCTCGAAACTACGGCCGCAAGCAAGCGGCCGCACCCATGTGGCGTGTCCTTTTGCCGCCGTTTTGTTTTTTTTACTTTCAAAATAAGAGATGATGCACGTGTGCATAGGAATTTTGTTCATCAGTTTGTCTTTGCTTTGTTTTGTTTTTTGAGACCAGAGTCTGTGATTTGTTGTCCAGGCTCAGAGTGACAGTGCCGTGGCATCACAGCACTAGTCACAGGCAAAGAGCTCAAGACTCCTGGCTCCAGCGATACTAACAGTATATGGCCCTACAGCACACTATTACACACACACACACGAGTAGAAAACAATAGGAACAGCCAAGACAACCACCCCCACCAAATAAAAAACAAAGAACACGGAAACACTAAATTATGAAGAAGTTAATAATAATAGTACTATATAGATAACAAAAAATAAAAAAAATACAAAAAATAAAAAATAATAAGATGAATACTGAAAATAAAAAAAAATTAAAAAATCATAAAAATACAAAAAAAAAACCCTACTCACACCACCACGCTCTACGCGCCCAACCCCTCTTACACACTCTTTATTTTATGCTTTAATAGCGTAGCAGACGGGGCTTCCCCATCCTCTTGCTCAGCGCGCTTGGTTTCGAACTCCTGACCTCCAAGCGATCCTCCCACCTCAGCCCTCCAGAGATCGGCTAGGATGCACACGGCGCTGAGCCACCACGCTGGCGCCAATCAGTTGTTTTTAAACTATAGTCCAGCCTCAACCGGTCGCTGAGGGACCTGTGAACCGGCCCTCGGAGTCTATCCTCACCACAAGCTTTCGAGGAGCCTTGGTTGCAGTCTCCCATCGTCTCGCTTTAGAATCGCAGCGCACGCACACGACCACTCCTCTTTCAGAAACCACACTCATCAGCCCACCGTCGCTTTAGACTATCCTGGGGTGTGGAATGTCGATGTCTTTAATCGAAGAAAAACAAATAATTGCTCTGATGCAAAACAATGACTTACTCATGTTTTAAAATATTGAAGATGGGTTTTGTGCCTGGCATTGGGGAGCAAAATAATGACAAGCGCACCTGGTCCCGCTGGCATGCATCAGCTCACCCTGGAGTCTCAGGAGAATTGGGTCTGTCGCCAGCCGACCTGAAGTGGTTGCCCCAGCACTGAGCCGAGAATGCTCTCCGATCTTCTTCTCGTATTCTCCTCTCGTCGATCTGGGGAGCCTTGAAAACCAGCCATATCTGCTGCTTGTCAGCCGTTGTTATCAGGACTTGGAAACAACATAAAGTTTTCACATTCCTGCTAAAATAAGCTATTTCCTTCCTCATTCCCTGATTTGTTTTAGCATTCAGCTTCTTCCTGGTTCGTGCGGGTTTGTGCGAAGTACCTTCGCTTTAGGTTAAGAGTAGAAGTCATCCATCTGCCTACTCTGTACTTTGTATAACATCGCGTGTAGCTATTATTATTTAGAGGACAAGCAGTTCATAACGAAGCGTGAAAAACAACGGCCACACCGTCGAGCATCACCGGGTCACCAGCCCCCTCCACCTCACACGCCACTGGGTCCTCGCATACAATAAAGTTGACACGCACACCACGAACAGACAGGAGACACGACGCAGCAGACGAGCAGAGACGACGAACGCCACGCACCGACGCAGCACGAGCGCCACCGAGACGGAGAGAGCAAGAAACACGACCGACACGAAAGAAAGAAAGACAACAGAACGCAAAGAAAGCAAAGAAAGCAAACCGCACAAAAGACAACGCAAAGAAACGAAGAAAGACACGAGAAAGCACCCACACCCCCCCCCCAGAAAGAAAAGAAAGAAAAAAGAACTTGGGATCTTTTGATTTCACCGTTTCAATGCATTCTTTTCAATCATTCACTGCTAGCTTATATTATTCCAATTTAGAGGACAAGGAGTTCTACAAATCTGAAAAAAAGGAAAGCCTTGAGGCACAGGTACAAGGTATCCAACTAAGAACTGGATCGTACCCTAAATAAAGTTAAAAAAGAAAATAAAGAAAGAAAAGAAAAAGAATGGCAATCTTTCATTTCATGCATTCATCAATCAATTCACTGGCAACTCCAATAAGACAAGATCTTTGGACGCATGGGATCAAAGGTAACCAAGCACAACGTTCCTTGTCCTCAAGGAATTTTCC